TGGGAATTAAGGGATGGGACCAAGCTGTTGATTGAGGTGTTAGCGAGAGAGTAATAGTCAAGAAGGTCCATTTTTGTAAATAATAAAAAATAAATAATTTGTATCATTGATTAATTATAAAATATTTAACAGTGTTGATATAACTTGAATTAAGATTATCTCACTATGACTGGAAGTCCATCGTGTATGGGCCGATACACTTTTGGGTTTCTGTTCTTGGCCTAGTTTGTGATCTTATTCTTTTACCAGATTGGATTGAAGTTATACCACATGGAGTGCTATAAATACTTCTCATACTTCTCTGTAATCTGTATCTTCTCGAAATATAGTGAAACTGGGTCTCTTATGCCCCTGGACTAGCTAACGCACGTTGTGCTAGTGAACCACGTTAATCTATGTGTCTGGTTAGTTTGTTACTTTCATTTTTCTTTCTCTTTCGGTACTCCGATTTTCGATCCGTAGAAATAGTCATAACAAATACATTTATAAGCTCAACTCAACATTAAACATTAAATAAGCTAATTGCGCCTTATTGACTTTGGGTGTTTGTGTTTACGTGGCTGGACTCCTTATTCTTGGTTTAGGTGATCTACCGCCCCCATGGCCTCGATAGCCGATGCCTCTTTCTCTCTCTTGTACTCGTCCAGTTGGTATGAATTGTGGCTCCCAAAAACTATGTTTGGTAACAAGCAGGCTTGTGTATCAAGACAACGAGGTACCAAGCCAAGTACCATCTAGAGAGTTATCCAAAAAACTACTTATAGATATCAAGTCGAAAAGACAGGCTTGATAGCAAGATACAAAATTTGGCTAAGTCTGCATACCAAGCGAGTGAAATAGACTTGGTAGTAAAGCAACAGGGTACCAAGCTGACAAGATTAGTTTAGTAGCAAGATATGAAATTTGGCTTAGTGTGGAGTATTGATGACTTAGTAGCAACACAAAGGTAACAAGATGACAAGACAGACTTCGTATCAAGTTAGCAAACCTCCCAAAAACTAAGTATGGAAGTATGAAATAGGGTATTAAGCTGGCATGGTGGCAAGCTAACAGCTTAATGAGATTAAAAAAAGGGGGTCGTTAGGAGAATAGGAGTCTAAATTTATAGATTATAAACAATTCAAAAATTCTAACTCTTCGGATTGTTGAAAAATATTTTACAATGTTAATTGCTTGGTAACTGTGATTGTTAATATTATATAATGGGATAGATAAATGTCATGTTTATCCTAAAAAATTTAGAGTGATTCGAGACATATTGCGGAACTTTTGTATAATACGAATCGATGACATGTTAAATATTTTAACTAACAATAATGGAATAATTTTGTTTATGTAACTGCTATAGAATGGTTATTACATTAATCCTTCATAATGTAAATCAAATTTAGAAAGTAACATATGATTAAATTATTATGCCTTAATCAACTAACCTTGCAGAACCTTTTCATGATGCAAATAGATGACATGTTAAATATTTTAATTAACAATAATGAATTTTTATTAATAATAAATAATTTTTTAATATTATTCATATTATTTATGTGAGAAATATTTAATGTAGAACTGGTTGTACCATATCGTAGAATTAGTTACCCCTGGAAAGACAAAATAACCTATTTTTTTTAAACGAACAATGACAAATGTTTGTGCTTTTAAATAGATTATAACGATCTAATGATAAAATCAAATTTTAGAAAGTAACATATGATTAAACTGTTATATCAAAGTCAACTAATATTGTCGAACCTTTGCATATGCGAATTGATGACATGTCAAAAATTTTAACTAACAATAATGAAACTTTGGTTAATAAAGAAATTGAATTTTATAAAATAACATATGATTAACGAAAAAGCAAAAATCAAAATGATGAAGATAAAATTCAGAGCGAGGAAGAGACTGAAAATGATAAACTATTATAACGTCGTACAATTGAGTCTAAATATTAGATGAGGGGACTACCATCCCTATGCTAGCTCTTTCTAATCTTTTCTCATCATATGAATACATACATTATAAGTTGCAACCGCTTCCAAACTACACATAGTTTCACCGTTGCATACACCTTTTCAGGTTTTTGATTGTGCTTCCGCTAACACATTTGTGGTCCAGTGGAACTGATCACTACCATTATTGTTTTGGTTCACTGGATTGGTAATAATGTTTCCCATTTTCGTTGACAGCTTGTTGATGGGAACCATTTCAATGGCACTTTTATATTCATGGAGAACATGACTATCAACGAGAGGAACGGGAGAAAGGTGGTCCGTCTTTTAGATTGTGGCCCTGTTTGTGAGTACCGTGAGCGATATTTATCATAAACGGGACACTTGGAGGGCCGCCTGATGTGTTTTCGTTTTTCAAATAATAATAATTAATGATCGCTTGAATTATTGGTACGCATGAGACATTGGTATTATTAGGTGGGAATGGGAGTGTACGTATGAGATGCAATCTAGGCAGAGGCAGTAAGCTGTAAGTATATGTATCTTATTATAGCAAGACACTAATAATTATCAGCAATTGTCCTTTTTTTAAAAGTATATATGCTGTAACGGCAACATGCCAAGTTGTTACCTAACACATGGCGTCGGTCTGAAGATGGAAACAATTGTCGTATTGTTTTTTTTTTGTTTATCAAATTAGTCATCTTGCCCGATTGTCGTGTTGTTCCTCGTTTGTCTCTCCCCAATAATCTCTATTATTAATTACTAGCTTTTTATTCTGCAGTGGTAAAAAAAATTAATTATATTTAAAATTTTATTAATTTATTTGAAGATTTCGTTGAAATCAAATAATTTAGATATCGTTGGAGTTAGATACTTTCCATAAGTTTTATGTAGTGTATTAATCATTATAGAATAGTTACTTCATATATTTGTTTAACTTATACATGAGGAATAATTATTCATACATAACCTTACGTAGGGTCTTAACCATTACAGCAGACTTTACTAATAAGTTTTGTTTATTTTATGCATAAGAATTAACTATACCTCCATAAGCTTTAAATAGTACTTGCCATTGTGAGGAAGTTGATTTTATCAAGGTAATCAAGCTCCCTTGGCATTGTGAGAAATTTATCAAGTTATCAAGTTTATTAGGATTATCACGTTTTGATGGTAAGACGGTTGCGCTATTTTAGTTGAGTTCATTTCCTAGTCAAGTAAATATTTTAATGTATGAGCATTTGTACTCGTCATGTATGTTAGTTCATTTTATTTGTTATGCAAATAATGGAACTAGTATTAGTACTGACTACTGATCACAACGCCCGCACTTAGAATTTTTGGAAGCAACAGAAGCATGCCATGGAATCAGTAGTTCATCACGAGGATCAATGACTCTGAAGGACTTGAGCATGAAGTTATTAATTAGGTGTAGTACTTGGAAAGATTTTATGAAAGATATTTACTAAGTTAAATTATTCAAATTGAGTCGCTTTTCATGATGTCAGTTTTTGTTAACGTGAAGTTTTCGCTGTCTATTACAAGTTTTAAATATTTTTGATTTATTAAGGGCATTTTGATAAAAGTGGTGCTCGGTTGGACAAGGGTTTTACAGTACTCTTCAGGGTTTTTTTTTTGAGAAAGCCCTTCGGTTGTTACTGTCCTAATAGTTTTTGTAAAATATGATGCTATGGTTAGAAAAAGGAGTAGGGATGGCAATGGGTCGTGTTGGGTTGGATCGGGTTCTGTCAAATCCAAACGCAATCCAATGTGTATATCCGTAAAAACCACCGGGGGAAAATTCAACTTGTTCTTAAACCTCAAACCATACCCAACCCACTGGGTATCTGCATATTCATGTAGGGGGTGAGCATTGGGTTGTTGAACCCACAAATCTACCAAAATCCACCCGCAATCGACCCACCCATTATCATGTGGGGGGTTCTTATGGGAGGTGTGGGTGGACTGTGGTTGATCCACGACCCACCCAAATTTTTAACCTCAAACCATCAAAGCTCTAACATATAAGTTTACTGAAAATGAAACCTTTAAAATCACAAAACTTCGCCTCAATTTCAATCAAAGGATTGTGTTTTGAGGTGTGCTTAGGAAATTGGAGGTACGATTTAGCATAACTAATAGACAAAATGGCAGAATAAATCAGTTATCTTCCCCAAAAAAATACCATCTCAAACTACCACTGATTCGTCCTTCATCCCTTCCATCAATTTGGAATTGTAATTTGTGACTATAAGTTAAAAAGCTAATTACGCTCCCAACGCCTAGGCGAATAAGGCGCTAGACAAGACCATATTTTTTGCCTTATGCCTAGTGTCTTCTTTAACTTTGGTTATTATCAGGTTTAGACCATGTTTATCAGTTGAATATTTTGTAATTTATGGACAATTACCAATACTAATATTGTAAACTAAATGATTCACCTGATTTCAGAATTAGGCATTATTTAATTTGAAAATGTCATTCATTCCAAGTTTAAAACTATTGAAATTATGTGATCATATGAAATATATTTATTAAACCCACCGAATCCACCCAACCCACCTACGTGTAATGTTTGGGTGGGTGTCGGTCATTTTACCCTTCACCTACCACGTAGTGTATGGTTCCAAACCCACCAAAATCTTCATAAATCCACCCACTCCTCACCCCTAGATTCATGGATACCCATGGTTTCCGATGGACAAAAAATGCATAACACCAATCTCCCGTCAAATAAAAGTCACACAGATATTCCCATGCAAATTATCCATATAAGAAAAATACCAATCTAGTAAATACAAGTAAACTCACAAATTATCTATACAAATGTTTCAATATTAAAGATAAACAGTCACGAACAACACAATTAATCGACCGGTTGTGGGAATGTGGGTGTGTGGATACCCATGGGTCGCATATAACTAAAGCCGAATGCAACCCAACCCATTGAACAGTGCAACGGGTTTCAACCCGAACAGTCTTACAATTCGTCAACGTGAGTTTTACCCACTTTAATCAGGTTGGATCGGGTAAGGTACCCGTGGATTCGAATTTTGTTACAATCTCTAAAAAGGAGGCGGGAGATGGTACTTTAAGAAGTCCAATTCAACTATCTCCGGGCCCAAATGAAGCCCAATTAAAACACAAAGGAAAGCCGGAAGAACTGAAATCTTCCCTGAAGCGAAGAAATTGAATCAAGGAAGAGCAACCGGAGAAGTTGAGAGGTCAGCGAGAGAGAAAGAAGGAGCAGCCATGGAAGGTAGCAGCAGCAGCAGAAGCGACGAGGATTTCGCAGTGGGCTGTATGCTCTCCATCAAAACCACTTTGGGCGACGAATTCGACGGCCAAGTCGTCACCTTCGACCGCCCATCCAACATCCTCGTCCTTCATATCCTTCTCTCCCAACCATCCTTCATTTCCTGCTCTGCCTTTTCTTCTCACTCATGCTGAGTATCTGTTGAAACCCTCTCTGCTCTGGATTCCTTAACTGTGTTGTTTTGATTCTCACAAGAGGGATTGAAACTTGGGCCGAGGAGGAACATACGGTTTCTGAAGACGAATTACATCAAGGAGTTCTCTTTCCTAGGGCAATCAGAAGACCCACTTGACATCAAGAAGTGTTATATAGATCTCCAGAGCCTCCAAGCTCGTGAGGAGTTGGCTTTGAGGTAAATATGCCTTCTTTTGTTCGTCTAGCTTAGGGATTTCGATGGGTCTTGCTATTGAATTTCTCACTTATTTTATTATGTGAATTTTGCAGGCAAGCGGAAGCAGATGCCGAGAGGATTGGAGTTGGTGTCACTACTCAGGCTCAGGGCATCTTTGACGCCTTGTTTAAGACGTATGCTCATTTTCCATCCTCCATTTTGATTGTGGTCGTGCAACTGTCATGAATTCTACTTTCAATGATAATCAGTAGGTTCAGATATTGGATGTATGCTGGTAGTCTTAGAGTGTCCCGTTCTTTTTGATGGTTTGATGAATGATCTTCATTTTGGGGTTGAATGAGGAGTGACTTAGACAGAATGGAAGTGATTCGAATTCTAGTGTTGGTGTTTTCTGCTTTGAGATGACTTATTCACTTCGACGCCAGTGTCTCTTGGTGGCTAAGGGCCGTTTACCAGTATTCTTCACAGTCCTGTACTTGTCCTTCTATGTATGTGCATGGTTATTAGGCCTCATGTTTGCGAGTGTGTTGTTTGAATTAGCTCCTAAATGGTTTTGTTTGTAGACTCGAAGATGCTTCCTTTCACTTTTGTAGTCTCGCTTTCTCAACTGATAAGAGGCTTCTGTTGAAGATGACTAGTTTTACTGCTGATTCTGATGTAAAATAACCAGGCTTCCGGTCCGCTGGGACAAGACTTCTATAGTTGTTATGAATGAAGTGCGCGTCAGTAGCCCTTATCTCCCTGAAAATGTTATTGGAGGAACTCCTGCTGCCAATGACCGAGTGAAAAAAGTGGTAAGCATCTTACGATTCGACTTCTGTTCTTGACATTGTTTGCCGAGTTATTAGCTTTGGTTACCTTTGCCTTTATTTCAGCTTGAGTTGGAGAGGAGAAGGTTGCAAACTCGTGGCCCTGGCCCGTGACGTTCAAATTTTTGGGATCCCGTGCAATTTCTTCGATAGGCTGCCCAGATGAGCAATGAAATGCAGCGTGGCTCGTCCCTACAGTCTGTGTGAGCAAGCATATTTCGGCAACCTCCCTAACTGTGATCCATGGTGAGGTCTGTTGACCTGAGGAATCTGGTTTTGGGATAGATCTTAATTTAGCTGCTACCTTGTAGTCAGTAGGTCATTTAGCACTTCAATTTTTGACAATCATACTACTGAAGCAACTGGGGATCTACCATTGTTGAGTTTATCATTAGTCCGATTTTGGTGCGCTCTTTAGAGGTTGTATTGTGTGTGATGGTCAAGTAAAAAGATTTATCGAACTGCTGAGGGGTTCCATCTTTTCCAAAGAGGTTCATTTCATTTTTCATGGTTTCCAGGCAAGGTTGTAGGGTTTGAACCACCAATTTACCACCCGACCCAAAAAACCAGAAACTCTTGGAACTAAAAAAAACTTGTGAACCAGTGGACCCAAAAATCACAACCCAGTTCATGGCGGTCCAGCATAATAGATCAAACTCAAAATTTTCATGTTTTTGCTCCATTTCTTAAATTTTCATGTTTTTGCTCCATTTCTTCTACATTGAAGATGTCCAGGTCAGTACACATGCTAATCCTAGGTGAAGATAAACTTGAAGTAAAAGCCTATAAGTACAACTCTTCGCACTCAAAATTCACTATCATTGTGTATTATTTTTTTTCTCTGTGTGACTAGAACGCCCTTGTTGTTTAGGATTGTCAAACCTAGAGTTGTTCAACTATTGATATTATGATTTGATTATTATATTTTATTGAGTTTTTTTCTTCAATCTCGTTATTCTTGCTTGTTTATATTCGACTCTTAATTCAAGAGATAAATTTGTGGTTTTTTCCTAGTATGAATCCAAGAGAGAAATCCGTGATCTTCGCGAAGTAGACCTAAGTTGATACATCACTATTAAATTAGAAAGAGAAAAATTCTCCCATCGTGTCCTTAACCGGTGTTCGAGTTTTTTGAACTCCTTATGCCACTAAAGTTGCTAAAGTCTTTGATTAAGGTTACGAATTAGCTCTTCATACTCTCATGGAACCTCGAAATAGAGAATGTAACACTACACCTCAGGATAGAGATCCAAACACGGACCACCGATGCAAGAAACTACATTTCTTACCAAAATCTTGTATGCTATTTATAATATCGTGTGTATATGATCAAATTATGACACACAATATATAACTCACACATAGTTTGATTAGTTTACTTCAAACAAGAAATCACACGCAACACTGGTGGAATGGAGATAGAACAAGACAAGAACTGATGATAAGTTCCTCGTACCAAAAGAAAGAAATGGTCGAGCAATTCCGTTCCTTCGGTCGAACATATTCTAAACCTGTTAGAGAAAATAGTCGTTAGGGCAAAGAATGCAATAGTTTTCAAAGACTCATCCTGACGTCTCCTTTGCCATCAACAAGCTCGAACATTATCTCATTACAATAGATCTTCCCTACGGACACAATGTAGTTGAAGTAGTGGTGCTGAATGTCGGTAGTCTTCTTTAAATTAAAACCGATACCAATTCTTGAAGAGAAAGCGGGGGAAAATTACCAAACATTTAGCATTCCCTCATGCTTGGCAAAAGCTAATCTCATACCGCATGATCTACTAAAAAAGGCCCATTTTTCTAAATTGAATTTCTTTTCTTTGGGGTCAGAAAATAAAAAAATCTCTTCCACCTGCTTATGGGCGAGCTACTTCGTTCTTTCGCTTCTATTCTAGTCTCTCAGGTTACGGGTGACTGAATCACAATGAGGATCGGGGAGCTTCACGCTCAAAACAGCGTATGAGCGGTTAGGACATCTCTTATGAAGAAGTAAAAGGTAAATCTGCTCAGTACTTGCAGATCATGTCAGTAGTCTTAGTGCTCATGAAAAATGAAAAACAATCGATTATCTACCCAAGAAGATAGAGAGTCCCTCACAAGATTTATCGTTACTCATGTCAGCATTCTCACTTCTGATATCTCCAGGGGTTGTCACCAAAAACCTTCCCCGATTGACAAGAAAGAGCTCTCAGAGATCTTTTTCCTTTTGGAAGATACAGGAGCGATACAATAAACCTATTGATATTGGAACACACAAAGGATTCTTCCAATGTATCATTTCTGGGTCCAATGGAATTCATAGGTATAGGAAGAAGCCTTGTCAAATAGAGATCGGAAGACCAGGATTCGAACTAGATCGAGCTCTAACCTCTCCCTTCGGTCGAGTACATTGCATAACCTCTCCCTTCAATATCGATTCATTAGTAAAAAAACTTCCCCCTGTCTTCCCACCAGCTCCAGATGGAACTCCTGTAAAAAGGAAGGAAAAACCTATGTCGATAGAGCGACAATGTTACCTCACAATAATGAATGCGAATTCGTAGGTCGCTCCTCACTCCACACCAAACCGAAGGATATTGACTCATCTTCCCCCTAATGCGTGGGTGAGCTCACATATGATAAACCTTCACAAGGATCTCGAGGTTGGTAAAATACCGATGTACTCGACACCATGGATCGTAGCTACGTGCTCTAATCCTCTGAGCTACAGGTCCCACCCCGTCTCCATTGGATCTGTTCCCGGAGTACTAATCGATTTTTTTTTCAACCAAAAACTTGGAGATTGTGTAATGCTTACTCTTAAACTCTTTGTTTTGATTTTTCATTTTTACATGATTGATAGTGTCTTTTTGAAATCAAAGAATGGTGAAGAGCCAGAGGAGGTCGGGTCATTTGACGGAAATGGAAAGCTTTTTCCCTAGTCACATAGCTCTAGAGCGATGAAACATTCTCGCAATGAATCGATTTCTATAGCTTTTGATACAAACCATACAAGCATACGAACGATACAAACTAGAGCAACAAAACATACAAACAATACGAAACATACGAACTATACAAACAATATAAACTAGACCGACAAACAATACAAAACATACTAACAATACAAAATGCAACTACTTACAATACAAAACAGTAAAGTTGTATTACAAATCAATGAATAAAAAGTATACAAATCATAACATAAAGTATACAAACTAGACAAGCAAAGATTACAAATTAAAATGTATACAAATTAAATTAGTCATATAAATATTACAAACATAATAGATCAAATGAAAAACTAGAATAATAAACGATACAAATCGAATTGATACAAAATCACAAAAAATACTTACAAGCATTACAAAATCGTCCGAAAAACATAACAAAACATATGCTCTCGCTGAAAAATCCCCCATTGTCGGAAATTCTCTCAGCCGTCGCCGAAAAATTTGCTGATGAAGAAATCTCTCTCTCTCTCTCGTACCTACTGGGAAAAAATCCCAAGGAAAGGAAGAATGGGGAATGGGAAAATGGCCAGAAGGCCACGACAAATATAATCCGGCCAGAAGGCCACAACAAAAATCACCGGCAAAGATAATCCCGGCGAGGGGCGGGAGATACCCATTTAGGGCGCTGCAGATTTTTATTTATTTTAATTTTTAAATAAATAAAATGTGTAATTATCATCTTATCCTTCATTAAACTGGATAAATTAGTACCATTAAATTTTAATGAGGTTGAATGTCTAAAATTGACTTAGTCATGTCACTAAGAGACCCTCTTAGACTCTTAGTCACTTGATCTTAGCCCTCCCAAATGTATCTTTGGATATCAAATGTGACCTTGCGAGAGATCAGTGTGATTCTAGGCCATTGGGCCTTTACATGGGCCAAGGTTTGGTTTAGACTAAACTTCTCCCACACCCATTCACAGAAGTTTGCATCTCCTTTGTTTGCTAATCTACTAATGCCTTGGGCTAACTAATGTGCACACGTGTTCAATTAAAAGTTGGATTAGTGGCATTACTATAACACCATTAGTTGATGATTGATGGATATATAAATAAGCTCAAGATAGATAGACACTAATGGTAATAACTAATCAAACATTATTGCTTTATGAATTTGTCGTAACTACTTTTATGCTGATTTTCTATCCTTCTTTTGTTCCAAATCCCAACAATTTTCGTGCTCTACTTTTACACATCTTTGTCCGATCACCTTCCAATAGCACTTAAGATACGGATCAATTATTAGTTAATTAAGAAGAAGAGTACAAATTGCTTTCGGCTTGAACAGCAGTTAGTTCAAACTCCCTCTCCTGCGCCTTTTAACCCTTCCACGTCCATCAACTCTACATTCCCGCCCACTTCCTTTCCATATTCCCCGGCTGATCAATGCTGACCTAGGAAAGCTAAGAACCTACCCATGTACTTATGACATACATACATATAGGCTTAATTGCAAGTTTGGTCACTCGAATTGTTATAAAATTTCACGTTTGCCACTCAAATTAATTTATTCCATTTATAGTCACTCGAATTAGTTGAACAGTTCAAGTTCGGTCACTCTCCGTTAACCTCCGTTAACTTTGACTGACGTGGCGGTCAACTCTGACAGTTGACCGTTAAATGTGTGACGTGGCAAATAAAAAATAATTAAAAAATAAAAATAATTTTTTAGAAATTACACGTCATTATCACAAAAAAAATTATAATTGTAAAAAATGAAAAAAAAATTATCACAAGGAAAAAAAAGGACAAAAATATTATTCCTTATGATAACATTGTAGCTCGATCGGCCAGAAAACCTTCCCTGCGGCTGGCACTCCGACCCAATCAACTGAAACCCCTGAAATTTGCTCTTCAGCTTCTCTATAATCCCCATTCCCTTCCCACTGCCCTTCTTCTTCTTCTTCCCTTCTCTCTCCATCCGGCCCCGAGAACCCGCAGCAAAAGAGCTCGACCCTCTCTCCCCTCTCCGCACCCGATTCCTCTCCTTCCCGCCGTAATGGAAGCTCACCGACCGACAATCCCCATCCCTAACCACCGCGCTCCTGATCTCGTCCCCTGCCCCCATGGCCCATCTCTCCAGCATCAATTGCTTCTCCAGAACCGTCTTGTCCTCCTCCGATTTCATCAGCAGCTTCTTCATCCCCTCTATCTCCTTCTCCAGCCCTCGTATCCTGAAACTCGTGGACTCCATCTCCTCCTTAATCTTCCCCGCCTCTCCTCCGCCGATGATGTGTAATTTCTTTTTGTGATAATTTCTTTTTGTGATAATTTTTTTTTCATTTTTTACAATTATAATTTTTTTTGCGATAATGACGTGTAATTTCTATTTTTTTTTAATTTTTTTTTATTTGCCACATCACACATTTAACGGTCAACTGTCAGAGTTGACCGCCACGTCAGTCAAAGTTAACGGAGGTTAACGGAGAGTGACCAAACTTGAACTGTTCAACTAATTCGAGTGACTATAAATGGAATAAATTAATTTGAGTGGCAAACGTGAAAT